AAAGTAAACTTGGAAAGGTTACCACTCACAGCAGCTACTAAGCATCACAGTCAGATGTCAGACAGACCCAGGCAGCTGCCTCCAGACCCTTGCACTCAGTGAGGCTCCTCTTTGTCATGTGCTTGTTGCATGTCCTCCTCAGTAACCTTGAGGGTTCATTTCCTTCAGTATGAAAAGTGGAGATATAGTACTACCTTATCGTTTCGAGTTAGGTGTAGATGAAGAAACACATGCATGTTGTTGACAACAGTGCCTGCTACTGAGTAAGTGCTCAGTAAACCTTAACAGGAAAAAAGAAAATCTGCCCCCATCCTAAGAGCAATTTGTTATGTGTTTCTTCTATCTATCCATCTATCTCTCTATCATCTATCTATCTAATCTAATCTTATCTATCTATCTTTCTTTCTTTCTATCTATCTCTCTATCTCTCTATCTATCTATCTATCTTTGCTCTAGTAAGTCATTATTTTCCTATTTCTTGGGAAGAACCCTGAAGTAAGGATGAAAGAGTGGAAGGGAGGCTATGGGATCCTAGGCTTCTGTGAACACACGTCCTAGGTCGTGGGAATCAGGATTATCATCTATTCACATCTTGGGAGCCACAAACCACAGGCTTTCTAATTCTGTTGTGTTTCTCCTGCTTTTCTCTTCCTTGTGCTTTACAAGCTAAACCCACAAACTTAAAGAGGAACGTTGCAGGGTGAGTTGTCCCTCTGTGAATTTTGGTCTGCATATCTCCAGTGCCTAGCTACTTTTACTCCCAGTTTTTGGAGAAGACGGTGCTCCTGTGCCTCCTGAGACAATGGCCCCCATGGGAAGAAGTCATCGTCTGAGCTCTGTTTCATCCTTTTCCTCTAGCAGCTAGCACCATGTCTAACACATCACAAGTTTTTAGTATAGGGCTGTGATTCGATGAATTAATTCACAGGGTCTTTATTCTCTGTCAGTCGCTCTTTGCTTTTTTGGAGGGAACTCACTGCCCAGTTCCCCTTGGAGGTGGTGCATCAAGACAGAGGGGTAGAAAAATCCCTCTTCTCTCAGTTCAGCTAAGACCAGGGGAGAAAGGTAGAGTTTTTCAGAAGTACCCTTTCCTTGTACGCCAAGTGCAGGCAGAATAAACACAGAGCATTACAGAAGTAGAAGGAGGATTTTACAATATGACTCAGCCGCAGTCTGTTCTCAGGTGGGCTTGGCCAGCTCTGGCCTCTCCTCGCCTCTTCCCTCTCTGAGGTAAATTCTCAGGTAACCAGCCTGAGAGGGTTTTGGGTTGGCAGGTTCTCAGGCTTGTAGGATTCTCTGATACCCCAGGATGACCTGCTTCAGATACTCCCACAACGTCTTATCAGCTTCAAGCCATCCAGGTAACCTTGGTGGTGGTGGTGATTTATTAAAAACAATTTTTAAAATAGCTTAAAATAGGATTGTGGCCACAGCATACGAAACTTTTAAATATATAATGAGATAATACAATGAAGAATCACCCTTTCCTGTACCCCAGAAACCCAGTTCCCATTTGCCCCCACAAAGATAATATAGCAATAGTTTATTGTCTATTCTTCTTTATGCCTATATGAGGAATATTTATGAAAAAGCAGCTGGGGGTCCTCAACACGTTATACAAAGTCTGAGGTCTGACCAGGTGGTACGACAGCTGCAGGCCAGTGTCTCCTAACTTCAGGGAATAAAGTTCACGCTGGGGTTTTGTTGGCCTCCCTCGTTTCCAGCAGCAGCTACGAACTTCTCCAATCTCTTACTTGGGGAGATAGAGAGGAGGAGACAAAACCCAGTGCCTTTAAATGTATAATTTTTAAAGTGTGTGTGCGTTGCATGTGTTTAAAAATCAGGGTACTATATGTGTCAGTTCCAAGGGCCTCCTGGGAACCAAATCATATGGCTGTTACAGAACAGCAGGTGAGAATAGATTTGACAGATGAATTTGTTAATATTGTGTAAATAAAAGTGTATTTTTTTCTCTTCTTTACAAGGTAGCATGTTATGTACACTGTTCTGCATCTTGCATTTTTCTTTTTACTTCATTTAGATTTTTTCATAGCAATCCTTAGGTACTTCATTTCCTTTTGTTTTTTTTAAGTTACAGTTGAAAGTATTTTTATATTATTTTCAAGTGTACAGCATAGTGGCTAGACATTTATATCATTCTTTTTGTTTTCTTACAGTTGCATAGAATTCCATTGTCTAAATGAACCATAATTTTTCTATGAGCACTTTATTGATGCACATTTATGTTAATTCCTGTATTTCGCTGCAGCAAAAACTACACTTTCCCTCCCACTGACCTTATCCAACTCCAAACGTGCTCAGACAGAAATAAGACAGGATTTTGTTAGGGACAGAGGAGATTACTGATTTGCCCACCCAGGACCAGAGAATAATGACTTAAATGATCAGTTCGGATCAACTCTGTTCAGATAATTCTATGTGACGACACCTAGTGGAGAGGGTTTTGAACTCGGGACTTGATAAAAGGACAAATGTATGGTTTTCTTACCAAACCTGGTTATAGTTCACTACATCCGAAGTATGTGAAGCAGATTCCCACACCTGTGTCTGGTCCCTTTTCAGTAAGAGACGAGGCTCACCATGTCATTGAGGTGGAAGCATCTCTGTGTTTTCCTGCTTGATTGTCATCCATCACCATCTCGCCACCCCAGGTGTGGCTGCTTCTAGCTTCAGAGTCCTTTTTTTCATGCTTTTGTTTGGTCAGTTGCATCAAGTTCGGTCATTAGCCTCTGCTCCTTTATCAAGCCGGTTTCTACCTCAAGCTTAGTCTTCCCGTAACACTCCGCAGACTTCTGGCCGTGGCTGTGGCTTGCTGCAGCTCTGGCTGTATTGTAAGGGTGCCACACCTTTCCCCTCAGCCTTTCCACCCTTCCTGAGAGGTAGGAGAGGAGAGCTCTTGGATTCTTCAGTTGGGTAGGATCGAGTGCCACTCTCAGAGTGCCACTGTGAAATGTCCCTGGGCAATAACCACCTGTGTAATCATGTCCTACCCCACTTAACAATCGCTACACTTGTAGATCCCTCCTCCACCTTGTTCCAGGAGGATCTCCATAGTTCTTGACCTTGAAGTCTGACCTTACCACTGACCTCTTTCTCTTTCCATTTTACCTGAAGCTTCTTCATGAGCAGTATTTTCCCAGTAGGTTCCTCAGGTCACCAGATCCATAACTTGGTCCTAAAGCTGTGTGAGTCCCTCAGAGTCCCTCAGTGTCATGAGTACCCAAGATACGCTGGGGAAACTATTTGAAGCGGCTCATGGAAGAGATTAGTTTTTCCACTTTTTGATGAAGCTTGGTTTCTTCACCTCTGGTTTTGAGACTTCCCAATGGCCATGAAGACTTTGTTGGGAGGTGTTTTTCCTCCAGCAGCAGAAGCAGCCTCCGTCTGGGGGCTGCCACTGGGTTTCTGTTTCTTTTCTGAGAGAAGCCTCTAGACTCAAAAAGCCCCAATGCCCTACTCATTCTTGGTCCAGTGGCTGATGAAGTCTTCTATCTCTGTCAGACATGCACACATCTGGGGGAACCGCCGGGTTATACTGATGGGGTGGACTTCCAGGAGCCTGCCATTGAATTGGATCTCAAAACGTGGTACCCACCACAGACACATCTTCTGTCGCAAGAAAAGGAAGGTATTTTCCTTGCTCAACACGTGTGTGCAGCTCTCTAGGGCTCTTTCTGGTACAGAAATTTAGATCATGGATGTCTCTTCCTGTCTCAATCCTATCATGTCTGTTCTGCAGAGAATGATATCTTGCTGTAACTTCCTACTTATCCTACAGCAACATGTGGGAACACATTTTTGGGGGGCAGTTAATACTCAGCAGGCATTGTCAGAAGCTGAAGTGTTTTGCTCCGTAATAACCATGGCTGGTGAGATGAGTAAAGGAAATTATTCAAAGTCACGAAGAGTGTACTCCCCAGGGGACTCATTGGATCTGGGAACCAGTTATTCTTGTTTTTAGCTCCCTCATCTTTGGGTCAAATTAAAGAAAGAGCAGAATGGATGGTGCTGTGATTTGTCACAGGGAGAAGAGAGATCTGGTGCCCAAATCCTTATTTTTAATTTTTCTTTTTTTTAGCACTTAAGACTCTTTGAACTTATCCTGTGAGTATCTATCGACATGCTGTCTATCCATACCCTTCCCCCCAAGAGTAGAGGCTCCATGAGAACAGAGGCCTCCTCATCTGTCTCATTCACTTATGTGCACCTTATACTAGGACAGCCTCTAGCACCTAAGAGACAGTAACTGTCGATCCAGGCAAACAAACTCTGTTCTCTCCATTGTGGTCCCCTTTGGAGCACTGCCTCAGTCCCTTGGGGGTGGGTGGTAAGACCACCCAAACCATGGTACCAAATTGAATATCTGTGATGGATTTGGAGGAGAGACGGGGTGGGGTTACGGGAAAAGATGTTGAATTTGCAGAAGGTCTCTGGGTTTGAATCTTAACTGACTGACTCAGGGAATGTCTCTCAGCTTCAATTTTTTTATCTGCATAGAAAGGATAATAATTGCCCCCCAATACACATATACTTTATAATCTTTGGTTAAAGAATGTGTGAGAAATGCATTTTAAACCATAAAGTCTGCAAATGTAAGGGATTACAAAATTATGGTCTTTCTCTTCCTTGCTTTTTCTCGTTTGTTTGTTTTTGTTTTTTTTGGCTTCACATGAAACCAGGTGCCCTGGTCTGCCTCTACCACTCTTTTGGAATTAGGATCTCTGGTGGCTGCCCTGTTGAGAGGGTTGTCTTTGTAGAATTAATTAAGGAGTGGATCCCCCTCTAGGATTTCCATCACCCTGATTCCCAATAAGATTGGTGGAGGGGTATTACCAGGGCCGAGGAAAGTGCACCCTTCTGAGGCCTGGCCTCAGTCCCTGTGCCGTTGGTCAGCACTCCATCATCGTCATGTGTCCGTGAACTGGACACCAGGAGCTGTACCATCGAGGGCTGCTTGACAGATGTTTCTCTCTCCCCAGGCGGCTGCTGAAGAGTGAACTTGGGTCGTTCATTACAGACTATTTCCAGGTAAGCCATGTGGTTCTGAGCATCATCATTACCGTGCATGTGGGGACAGATATCTAAAGGGATGGCTGATGCTATACACCTGGACATTCCTTCCACATTTAAAATGATGTATACCCAGTTCCTATGATGTGCTAGGCACTGCGCTGCAGTGGCCACCGAGGAGCAGAAGGCAAGTGTGGTCCCTGTCCTTATGGAGATTGTAGGCTTCGACAGGCTTTTTGGTCTCAGGACACCTTTCTGCTCTTAAAAATTATATCTTATTTGGATTATCTCTATCTTCACCATATTAGAAATTAAACCTGAGAAACTTTACAAGATGTCTTAATTCATTTTAGTAATAAACCTGTTATATGTTAGCATAAACAACATTTTTATTAAAAATAACTTTCGGAATAAAAAAAATAGAAGAGTGGCATTGTTTTATATGTTTGCAAAACCTCTGCATGATCTGGCTTCTTGGAATGATAGCTAAGTCCTCATATATGCTTCCCATTCAATCTGTTGTGATATCACACGTCATGTCATTTCTGGAAAACTCCACAGAACACTCATGGAGGACGCAAGGTAAATTACAATCTGGGGTCATTAAGGGAATGGTTTTGACCATGTGGAAAAGGTCTGGTGGATCCCCCAGGGGACCCTAAACCACACTTTGAAAACTGCTTCTCTAGCAACATTCTCTCTCACCTCTATGAATGCATGGTATATAATTGATATAATTATATGTACCCTTTAGCCAAGTTATTTCTTGTCCATAGCCTTTTGGTCTGTTCTGTTAAAGATAGAATTGTATCAGATGATCTAACATTCCTCTTGCCTAAACACTATTGTTATGAGGCAAATGAGTTCAAGGTTCCAGGTTTAATTAGAGGACGGTTTCTAACCCGCTGACAAAGCTGCCTTGCTGACTCTGTCCAAAGGCATATGGGGGGAGGGCGTAGGGAGGTGTTATATAACACCTTAGTGACGTCAGTGCCCGCTTTTCACTCTCTAGCTGAGTGGTCTTGGACAATCTCCTTTCACCTCTCTGTGCTTTGGTTTCCCCATCTATAAAATGGTAATAAAAATATGACCTACATTATAGGTCATTGTATGGTTTACATGAAATGACACATGTAAAGTACTTAGCACATAGTGTGTGTGCGCAAGAGTGAGCACAGGATAGTGGTCAAGAGTGTGGTCCTCATAGTCAGACTACATAGGTTCAACTGCCACCATAGCCACTTAACTAGCTGTGTGACCTTGAGCAAGTTGCTTTACCTTTGTATTTTAGTTTCCTATTCTGTAAAAATAGGGGTTATAGGGTTGCTGTGAGCACTAAATAACTTATTATTTGTAAAGTGCTTAGAACAGTGACTAGCACAGAGTAAGAAAGTGATGTGTTCATTAAATTTATATATATATATGCATGTTTGTTACTCTGAAGTGTAATCTACCTCTTTTAATGAAAAAGTAACATAAAAATACATAATATCTCGGTTTCAGGTTGGTGGTATTATTCTGTATCCAAGGAGAACATACTTTTAAGACAGTATAAAGAATTTTTAGGTTATAAAAACAATACTGGCATCTTCATAGTTTTTTTCTTTACATGATCTAGGAAGCTTAAACTTTTATAGGCACTTTAGAAGAATGACAAATGTCAGTCATTTAAAACACACTTACACACACCATTAACACAACGCACGCGCGCGCACACACACACACACGCACGCACGCACGCGCGAAAACAACCACTTAAATGTGGACAAAACAAGACCCTACAGAAGCCTGGAATTCAGCTGGTTGAAAGAAAGCTCCTGTCCAGGGAGAGATGAACAGAAAGATTAAGAAAGAGATAATTAGTCACAAATGTGAATCATTTCAGTTGCCCTTGATTCAAAGGTTAGTCTTGTCCTCACTTCCTTCTCTTGCTGCCTCTAATGATTGATTTTTAAATGCAGCTACAGAGAAGTGGTTTTTCAATCAGTCTTGGAGAAGCCTGACTGCCCAGCTGCCTTCCTCGTTGACATTTAAAATAGACAGGGTTTGGTGTGGTTTCAATAAGGTTTTAAATGTCAGTTGTCTTTTGGCATTGGGGGCTACCCTTAGGATGGGTGGGGAAGGGCATTTGGGTGGGGACTTGTTTACCTGAGAGGCCCTGAGGTTTTTGGAGTGGTTAATGCTGCTTGCAAAGTATGCCAGACACTTAACAACTAATAACTGCATGCCATTTTCTACTGAGAGCTTAATCAGAGAAACTACTTGGTGAATATTGAGTCTCTGAGGGTGTGGCTTGGGAACTGGTTTTCATAATTTCAAACTTGGGTTTTTTCTTAGCTTAAGGTGCTAGACTGGAGAGAAAACTGTCCTAGATTGAATGAAGATTTTAAGTTTCATGTCAGTGCAAAGCCTTTTTTTTTTTTTTTTTTTAATATGTGTGGTTCTTTAGTCCTTAGAAAGTACCTGGTACATAATAGACACCCAATAAACCTTCTTAGGGGTGAGAGAGGGGTTGTCCATAGATAATGTGAGAAATCTTAGGTGGTACATGAAAACATTAGCCCTTGTGGTAATTTTTTTAACTAAATGTATTGGGGTGACATTGGTTAATGAAATTATATAGGTTTCAAGTATATAATTCAATAATGCGTCTTAATGCATATTGCATTTTGTGTTCACCCCCCAAAGTTAAACCTTGTGGTTAGAAAGTGTTTCCCTTCCTTATTTTCCTTTAGTGCTTCTGTTTGTGCCAGGGAGAGTCTCGGTTTGTGCCACTGTCCTTCACACTTCTGCAAGACTAGGCAGAGAGCAAACTTAGTGTCTCCAGCTGGGAACTCTGTCTAATTAGGATTTCATAACACCTTTTCGTTTGCATTGAGTTCATCATTGAGGTGCATTTTATTTATGGCAAATGATGTTGCTATAGTTTCATTTTTAAATATTAGTGTTCCAAAAATTAGATCGATTTAAGAAAAAATAGTATGCAAAGAATAATAGTGTAGGTGGCCCTGCCTATGGCCACATTGTGAAGGTAGTTGGAGAGAAACTCGGGTTTGGAAAGCCCCGTGCTAGGTAGGCGTTATTTGAAAATGGGCTGGTTCCAAAGCTGTGTGAAAAAAAAAAAAAACCTATCCACAAACAAACTATCCACACGAACAGGAAATCCAGGAGGGAAGGCTCATAGAAACCAGCCTTCACATTCAACTACCAGATGGAGTTTCAAGAAGGAAAGTCAGTGGGTTCCAAAAAGTACATTCCTCCTGCAGGGAAGAGGGAAGACGGTCTGGGGACAAGTGAGGAACAGAACTCAGGGTGGACAGGTAAGACCCCAAAGCCGTGGACGTGGTTGTTAGACAAGGTCATGAATGGACCGCTCGGCACTGGGCTTCTCAAATGAGGGAGAGGGTCAGACAGTGGCCTCCCGCCATCTGCATTCAGCAACGAAGTCTGTCTCCTCCCAGACCCCCAACCCGATACCACCCAGAGTTTGTAAAGCCATCTCGGGGTCTGCTTTTGAAGGCGAACACGTTCTTTTTGCAGCTTTAAAGAAAGACTCACAGAAAGAATATCTTCATTGAAAAATAATGAAAATGCCCTGAGGTGAGGGCACGGGATGAGCAGGAGAAAACAGTGCTTATCTCGTGTCTGCACACAGAGGAGACAGGCCGTTTGATCCGCAGAAGCACAGAGAGATTTCTGTAAGACACTGGCCGGAAAAATCTTTGATATTTCCAGCACTGATTTTTCTTTTCCCTCTGTCTGTTTTGAATCGTGCCCGGAAGGAAAATTGGGGTTTCTAAGAGGAACTCTATTATCCTGGCGGACAGCTCTGAGGGATAATTGGTTCCTTATAACTTTGGAAACTGATGATATGAAATGCTCTGCATTTTTCTGTCGCCTAATTAAGTCTCTTGGTGGTTCACAGCCGGGGTGTAGGAGGGGTTGCACTTTCTGTCCTTCTGCATCTGCTGGCTGCATTGTGTTTGTTAAAATCTTTTCCCCGAGCCCAGAAAGTTAAATTCCTTTTGGTTGGAACTAGAGTTTTGCTTGATGCAGAAACTCAGTCTATAGTCAATGGTTCTGAACAAGCTAGTACTTAGAAAAAGGGGAGATCAGTCACCATGATTGCCAATAGGTCATGGATGGCCTGGTAGTGTTTGATATAAATACTCCCATTAGTCGTTCGTATCTTTGAGAGTCCCAGGAGGTCAGTATCCCCTTAGCTCATCGTTATCAAAGAAGATTCATTATGCTTATGACATACGGCAGAAAGCCAAAGGAGGAGACCGTGAAAGTGTCCTGGTCACCATGGAGTTTGAAATTAAAGACAGTGCAGAGATACAGATGCATCCATACGGGTAACACACAGCGCAGTGTTAGCTGAAGATCTGAATGGATGGTAAAAACAAGCCCAGAATAAATATATTTTGTAGGGACAAAGATGAGACTTGTAAGAATCCAGAGGAAGTTGGGTAGAGAGATGATAAAGAGTGGGGGACATTTTTTTTGCACTTTCCAAATCCAAATTAAGTAGAGGAGAAAACTTCGTGCTCTGCTTTGACCAGCCCAGGAAGGCTTCTAAAACGAGTGGAATCCCTGCAATGGGAAAAGGGATAATTCGGTGAACAGACAGTAGCAAGGGGCAATCCATATATACTCTGCTTTGAAAATCAAATCGCGGCTTCGAACAAGTGAGGCTGGGAAAAGACAAAAAGAGGGTAAAGGATGATGGACTTTGGAGAGAAGGTCATTTAGAGGTTGTATTTTGGATTTGGCCAGTAGTCGGAAGAAAGGCATTGTGGGGTTTGTAAACATTGTAGTGGCCTAGAAGCATCCCTTGGCCATTGTGAGGGGTGGGAACAGGGTGGGACTTGTCTGGGGGCTGCGAGCAGGACCCCTGGATTTTTCAGGCTACGGTCTGTGGGGCTGCTCGCCAGCCAAGCAGTTACCTTTCAGCGGCTTTGCCACACTGAATCTCCCTGGCAATTTTATACAATTATTTGAATATTTTTATTGTA